TTTTTAAACAGTTAAGCACTAAGCAGAGTCATCCACTGTGACTCTGGCAGCAACTACCTCAACCTTTTTCCTTTTACATTTTTTTTCTTTTTATGATGACAGTGGTGAGGCCCTGCCTCCCCTGCCTCCCCTGACTGCACGTCACTGTTAACAATGCTGTTATTTTGTAATTAGCAGCTTTGCAGTACAAGTGGATTTTGTATTCTAATAAATATGAATCTATCAAAAATATAAAAATCATTGAGGTGGAAGATTTATTCCTTGGGTGATCTGTTGCCTAATGTTCTCTGTCCAAATCTATTGCAAAAGTGGAAGTCTGGATCAAAATTGGCTTATACCATTAGCTTTTATATCTAACACTGCCATAGATTCTTTCCAGCTTTGAAATATGTCTCAACATTGCCCTTGTGTTATAAGATTTGAGACTCAGTTTTCACCTCTGATCTTCCATTGCTGAAGCTTTAATCTTATAGCAAGAACAAGCTCAAAAAAATGGTGTGCAAATTCTTTCTGAGAGTGCCTAATTTATAGGATTGTCGTAATTTAGGCTTTACCTTCATGCATATTTAAATTTACGTGTTTCATCCTCTGAGTATTTCTACTTATGCCAAGGAGGATCACTGGTCTTACAAAAGCAAAGCCAGTTAAATTATTATGAGAAATATTATATTGCTTAACTTTATTGTATTTATCTCACAATTAAACATGAGATGTTTTGGTATATAATATTTCATGAGTTCCTTTGTGTTGAGATAGTAGGTTACCAAGGATCAGCTCATGTAATACTTGGGCAACATCATAGTTTGGCCTTGTCATTTATATTTGGTTGCACAACACTGCACCAAATCCAATTCAAACCGAGGACAAGACTTCCTGCCTTTGTTATAAATGAGAAACTCTTTCATCTTTCAGAAGTCATTGAAAGGAAGACGTTTTGGGTGTGTATGTGTTTTTACAAACCCCTCCCTTTCTCCAGCTTATTCTTAAAAATAATCTGCTGCAGTGCAAATTTTGCGTTGATGTAGTGAATGACTAAATTTTAGCTAGGAGGCTATTGAGCTTAGCAATGAAATAGTGCAGGCAGCTCTGTCATCAAGATGAAGTTTTAGTCAGGGTTCAGCAAAGTAATTCCTCTAGCAGGCATATTTCTTGGAGAGCATTGTTTTATAAGTCAGGAAGGCCAAATATGGCTTCTCATCTGATTAGGTTGGGCTGTGGGGTTGTTGTATGATTTCTGGTGATTATACTAGTGATAGTACAATGCAGTAAGGAGCAGGTCATTAATTCTCTCAACCTCTGATGTTCTCTGATGACATAAAGGGGGGGGGGGGCAACGTTGTTAATTTTAAGACCTGTGGACTTGAGTTTCCCAATATTCCCAAGGCAGGCAGGATGACAGATCTTAAAGTTGCCAATGTTGGACATCTCTAGTGTGAAGAGTAAAGTAGCTAAGCATTGAAAATGAACTAACTGGCTGCAGTTCCACTAAGCCAGGGGTGGAGAACTATGGCCCCTTTATGACTTGTGTACTCCCAGAATTCCTGAGCCAGCCATGCTCAACTTGAACTCTGAACCCAGAACTCTCAGGAAGTCATAAAGGGGCCATAGTTTCCCACCTCTGAACTAAGTAGTTCCACTAAGTCGCAGCAGCAGTACTGTTACGATAGTTGTAGTTAACCTGCTGTAGAAATATAAAATAAACTATGTTTCCTTTATTAGCAGGCTTAGCATAGGGAATGGGCAGAAGTATATAAACAGACAATACATGCTCTAATGAAACAATCTTTAAGTTTAACTAACTACGAAGTCAGTTTAGCTTTGTGGGTAATGCTTTCTGCTGCAGTGATATAATAGTGATTTTGTATTCTTCATCTCGGACAACTGCAGTCTCTTGGCATTCGCTACCAGATCATAATCGCCATCTTTGAGAGAACGTTTGGCTTCTGGGTAATTCCGAAGTGGAGTGGGATGAGATGAAAATTTTAGAAAAACCATTAGCACAAAAGAACTGGCAATTTTAGAATGATAATCTCATGGACATGAAACATTACTCAGGTTGAGCCAACTGAAGGATGGGAGGGAGGGAAGGTGCTGTGAAGATTGGTGGGTGTGCAGGAAGATCTTGGGCTGATGGGAAGGCACTGAGAAAATTGGTGGATGTGCAGGAAGATCAGAGTTTGTTTCATGGGAAGACTGGTGGCAGACCACTGAGAAAGTGGGAGGCGAAGGCCCAACAAATACTTTAATGCATGTGCAAAAAGGCATATGGAATTAATGGATACTGAGATGCTTTGTCTCTAAAAAGGCACGATACTGAATTGTGTGGGAACCTTTGGTGCAATTACTACCTTTAGACGTGCCGGTGTATCTAGATCAAGCTTTTTGTGATTTTCTCTTTTAGTCACTGTATTTTAAATATCTGTGATTTCTTTTTTTAGAAGTCAGTATTTAAAGGTCCTTTTGGCAGACTTGTTTTTTTTAACACCTATTATTGGGATCAATAATTTGTCTTAACACTAGACTTACTGAGTAGGAGTTCTTTGTAAACCTAATTTGTTTTCTTTTATTATCATTCAGTCTAAGAAAAACTAAATAAATAAACACGAATAAAGCTGGTGTTTAAGTGGTAAAATGTATCCAACAGCTGTTTCTTGTCCAAGGTCAAATATCAACTAAAATCATGTCTCAATAAATTAAAAACCAAACCTTTGAAAGGTTCTGTTTGAATAATTAAGAAAACACAATTTATAAAAATAAGTGAGAATGAGAAGTAACCTGAACTTGAATTTAGGATGAAATTCCCTAAAGCTTATATTGCCTGCTCTGCTGCTTTGCTTCCTTGGATAAATTACTCTACATTTTTTCTGTACTTAACTCTGTAATTGTAAAATGAGAATAACATTGTCCCAAGTGTGCAATATGTGCATTTACTTGAAAGGGGAAGAAAACTTCATCATATCTAACATCATTTTTATCTTTCTGTTTAAGAATGATATTTAATAGGTGCAGTTAATTTGAAGCTAGAATGCAAATCTTAAAACGTGCCAGAAAGCCAATTTCTGGAACTACATTCCTCTTTCATTTCAGCAAAGGAAACCCGAATCTTTCCCTTGTGGGAATTATTTTAGTAGAAAGTATAAAGATGTCGTCTGTTTCTGATGGATTTTTGACACCTGGAGAAAGAGTTATACTCGGGGGGGGGGGGGGGAGAAGAAACATAACCATTTAAAAATGAGTATGTGACAAAAGTGAGAAATGAATAAGAAACTTGATATAATATAAATATATAACTATGGTTTGAACATAGATTTGAATTATTACCTATTCTTTAATGTACATTTAATGTTGTTTACAAAGAAGTTCCATTTTATCATTTGGTAAACTAGCAGAGGTATGATCTGAGAGATTATGAGTTGGAGCAAGAGAAAATGTGAGGATGAGGATTCCTACCATATCAACTAGAGTATTCCTATTCAAAGTTTCTGTAAGTCAGAAAGTGAACCATTAGGGTCTTGAGCAAAATTGATTCCCTCATTCTTCCTCTGTCAACTTGTTTTCCAGCCAACATCAACACTTGAACATTCATTTGGGGCTGCTGGGGAAAAGGCTGTATCCTTTAGAATGAATTGTTGGGAATAGAAGGCCTTCCTTTCTGCTATCTATGAAGAACTCCCCTGAAGTCCGCTGATAATTAGCCCCTTGCTTATTAGATTCCTTACTTTGCCTCTTCTTTCAGCAGCAAGACACCAAGTTGTCTATTTGAAAGGCTGACTATGAAATGATCAGTATCTGCATAGCCACAGGGAGGAAAATGTGTAACTGTCAGCATTGACAGATCAAGGGCTGTGTGAGCTGCAGAGGTCACCAGCATTTTACTGTTCCTCAACCATTTCTAAAATAGTCTTGACTGGAGAGCTTCCTTGTTCCTTTTTAACTCAACCAAATCCATTTCCCTTACAACTGTCTGCTTGTTAGCATTCTAACAAATTGAATTCTATAATAGCAGCACTGAAATAAGACCAGATGATATAACCTCTCTTTGGGCGAACATTTTAATTCTAGTTCAGCGGGGGGGGGGGGGGAGTACAAGATGGTTATTCTCAAATCCTAAAATTTTATTTCCTCAGTCTCTTTGTGTGAGGGAGGGGGGGATTTCTCAGAAAGGTTTGTAAAGTTCCTATGCTTCACATATTAGCATATATTACCTTCCTGCTATTTTAAAATACATGTTCTGTTGTAATGGTATAAAATCTGAAATACAGTATATCAAAAAATTTCCTCCAAGAAAATCCCTTATATTCTTTATCCCATGCAGATTTGTTGGTTTGTCTCAGTATTGTGTCTTGCAGATTTGAATGTAGTCTCTGGACCATAATACTTGCTGAAAGGAATAACAATAGGAGCTATGCACCTATTTTATTGAGGACAACACTATTAAACCCATGAAAATATTATTAAACCCATGAAAATAAAGTAGGCTTATGGTTAATGGCAATTGGGCTTTCACATACTGTACATTCCTTATGAAAGTTATCTAGAGGTATCATTTCAGATAGCCTGGCGCTATACTAAGAAAACTTTTAATCAAATAACATTTAAGATACGTTTTCCTGTCCTTATAATACTGTTAATTTCCTTTTCTGTTTTATTATATTTTTAATAGTCCTTGCCGATAATTTGAAATCAAATCCTGGAATCAAATGGCAGTACTTTAGTTCAGAAGAAGGTATTTTTACTGTGTTTCCAGCTCACAAATTCCGATGTAAAAGCAATTATGAACACCGCAGCAGGTATGTTTTTGATGAATTCAGTATAAGCATTTTGGAGATAAAAATACTTTTATTAGTAATGTCATTCCAGTAGAGAATTTAGATTCCAGGGATGTCAAATGACAAGATTAGGATGATGAACTCATTCAGATGTAGCCTTCCAGTATCTTCCAATTTACAAAACATAGATTTTTTAAAAATTACATCCATTAACATTACAGGCAGCCTTCATTTAACAAAAGTAATTGGGACTGTAATTTCTTGTCTCTAAGTGCTTTAATAAAGAATGACATCATTTGACCATTTCACTTAGCAACTGTAATTCTGACAATCCCTTTAAAGTCATTAAGTGAGAAAAGCATGGGTTGTTCAGCAAGGACCTTGTGTGATCACGACTCCTAAGTTTTTGCCAGTGTCCCCATTGATTTTGCTTGGCAGCAAAGTTCACAAATCATGATCATGTGTCCGTGGGATACTGCCATCGTCAGAAATCAGGACTGATTGCTGAGCAACCAGATCACAATGACATGGCCATGGAAGTTGTACAATGGCTGGCACTTCAAGTACCACGTGTTTAGTGATCTTGGCAAGTTTTGAATGGTCACTAAATTAGTGGCCATTAAACAAAGTAGTTTCTCTTAGCTTTCTCAATCCAAGAGAAAATAAATGGCAATTGTTCTCTTTTCCCTTATGGCATTTTAAACATTTTTGCTCTTAAAAAAATTAATATTTTTAGTGCATCATATGACATAGATACATATCAGGGCTCTTACAATTCTATTTTATGAAAGTGATTATTTGTAAAAAAAAATATTTCTAAAGGGCAAACACTACAATTAGTTGTACTAAAATATTAGTTGTACTAGTTGTACTAGTACTAAAGTGAATACTAAAGGCTGTATTAGGATAATCAGTATAACCCATTCCGGTATAGTTGGATTAAAGGCTGAGGTGATGGATTATAGATAGTATCTATATGATACCTACTTACATGGAAGTAAAAGGATAGAATATAATAGGATTCTGAGTAGAAATACGAAGGCCAACATTTGGGAGAAAAATAAACTTTCTTTTTTAAATGATAAAATAGGCAACACATGATTGTTTTGTATTTGTAAATACACTAATTAGAAATAAACTAAAATGTGAAAAGATAGAGGCAATTGTTTGAATGCAGGTGAAACTTCCGTTTTCATAACTCTTATAAAGTTTATAAAATCATAAAAATAAAGAAGTAAAAACTGAAAATTAGTGCTTAGGATGTAAAACATTAAACTAGTTGGGATTTCATGGTAAAAACATGCATTTTCACCTTCCCTTTCCTTTTTGGCTTTTCTCCAAGAATTAATGCATTCTGTATCTTTTGCGATTTCTACAATGCCAATTGTTTCTTCTGTTTTCAGGTTAATTTTGTTGCCTGCGTCTCTTGAGCATGCAAAGCCTAGGCATTCTATATTCCTTGCCGTTCACCAAAATGTAACTCTGCTTCAAATAAAAAACTGAAAATTAATAATGGTTTAATTATCAAACATAATTGCTGTGAAGTAACAAAGTGGCTATTTACAAAGAATGCTTTAAAAATAATGGCTATATTTTACTCCCAACACTTCCAATTTTGAGAGTGGAGAACAGGAAAAACATTTTTTTAATTATTTAAAATGTCCAAAAATTTTATGAGAGATCCTTGGTGCTCTCTGAGCTTGGTTGTTTTCTTGCAGATGTTTCATTACCCAAACTAGGTAACATCATCACTAGCACTTAAGTTACCTAGTTTCAGTAAAAAAACTCTGCAAGTAAACAACCAATCTCAAAGAGCATCAAGGACTCCTCATTTCAATACTGAGCTACAGAGATTTTATAGCTTTACTTCTGAGTAAAAAAAAAAAGGTTTGCACTATTGGCATGTCAGTCAATTTGCTGTTCAGCTAATTCCAGTCATAACCTTGGCTTCTAATATTTGAATTCTTCACCATTTTTATCTTCTCAAAAATATGGATATGTCCCTATTATTGTAGCTTTTAGAAACGAGATGTTCAAAAAAATAAGGAAGTCATTGGCTGATCTGCAATTTGCTGAAACCAAAATAAATTTATAAACATAAGTTTAACACACAGTTAATTCAAATAATGCCTTTGGACAATACAAGAAACTTCTTGAGTTCTTCTGTTGACATTCTGTTAATGAGTGTAAAGCACAGCATCTAACATATAACTTTTATTTTTAGACCTGTCTACGTCTCTACAGTTAGACCTCAGTCTAAGCATGTAGCTGTCATTATAGATCATGGAGCTTCAGTTACAGAAACACAACTGCAGATTGCTAAAGATGCAGCCCAGGTTATTCTGAACTCAATAGATGAACATGATAAGGTGAGTTAACTCAGAATAATAAGTCAGAATTTAGTTGTGATCCTTCAGATGTTTGCCTAATTTCTCCCAATAGTTTGGGAGAAAGAGCAATTTTGGAAATGGGGTTGGAATTGGGATGATGTCAGGGTTCCAAATAGCATCCAAAATTAAATCAGAGTCCGAGGCAAAGGANATGTCAGGGTTCCAAATAGCATCCAAAATTAAATCAGAGTCCGAGGCAAAGGAATCCTCAAAGTTCCAATTGATTAAAAGAGCCATATTGGCACATCTGGGAAAACCCAAATCTGAAAGCTTCCCAGTTTTCCCATCCAATTGAAAGTTCAAGATCATGCCCCAACACCCACAAGTTCATCACAAGATCCAATCTTCCACTACCATGAAGACAGATTCCTCCCATCCAGTTCCAGCCAAGTGCAGAGACAAAGGTGACCTTGAGTTTCTAAGAAGAATGTTGTTATGGCTACATATCACCCAACTCCATATAATCCCCCCTCCCATTTCCCCACAATAGAAAGTAGACAGTAGAAAGTGTGGCAGGCCTGAAGTCCAAAAGAAAAGATGGCTTGCAGGTATGACAGATGAATCATATATAATTGATAATTGTAAAGTACCCAGTCCTCTGCCTGAAAACCCAAATATTCAGAAAGGAGGAGCAGGAATCAAAGTATCTCCATTGCCTATGAAGTTGTAGGGTGGTATTTACCAAAACTCAGTTTGTCATAAAGAATGCCTATCCCTTTATTATCAATGGGAAAGAAAAATAGAAACTAGCAAGTGAGATCAAATAAGTAAAAATAAGTAATACATTCCACCTGATCTGAAAATCCTTAACCCAAGGGACTTTAGAAATGATTTGCCTCTTCACTCAACTGTTATAACAGAAGCTTGACATTAATTAATTAATTAATTAATTAAAATTCATTACTTTGCTATGGAATTGCTAAAAGACTATTCAGGAACCAGTACTTGTGGCTCCCTCACTCTGTTTCTCAAGCTTCAAATATGGGAAGGGAAGAAAAAGGGAGAAATTGAACGGATTTGGAAATTATCTGAATATCTCAGAGGAGAAGAAGACTAAAAAATAAGATGAGATAGCTTTCATCCCTTTCATTCTGAATTTTGGAAATGATATTGGAGGAAACTCTTAGTATGACATGTGTACTTATAGCTTCTTGGTACATATTCTGGAGAAAAATATTGATTTGTTTTTTCACGAGCAAACTTACTTTCATGATTCCTAGAAATAAGATTGTTATCTTGAATTTCATTCAAAGGTCTCATAAAATGTAGGGTCCCCAGCTCTTGTTCCCTAAAATAATCTGTTTCCTAAAATAATATACTATTTGCTCTATGTTTTCATTTCTGAAAGTTGAATGACAGTTTCTGATTATTATTGCAAACATTTTACATAAGAAATAATAGTTTGTTGACAAATCAAAAGATATGATTTTTCATAAATTAACTATCCTTAAGTTTTATAGATACACACCTTTAGTTTTGATTCAATAGGGATTTTAAAATCAAATAGACTTTCCTATTGTTATTATAGCACAGTGTAAAAGCAGACAACTCTAAACAGGAGGTAATTTTCTTTTATCCTTCTTCAGATTTCTGTGTTAACTGTGGCAGACACAGTAAGAACCTGTTCTTTGGATCAGTGCTACAAGACATTTCTGTCTCCTGCTACCAGTGAGACAAAAAGGGAAATGTCCACCTTTGTTAGCAATATCAAATCATCTGACAGCCCTACCCAGCATGCAGCAGGCTTTCAGAAAGCATTTCAGTTGATGCGAAATACAAACAATAGCACTAAACTTCAAGCAAGTAAGTATATTGTTACACAAAATTAATATCTTTGCTCCCGACCTTTTTCTTCCTTTTTGGATTTGATTTTTTTTTTGACACGGCAGAGGAGAAGAGATTGTTTTAAATTCTACAAACATTACCTGGATTTTTTTTTTGTTTTTAGCTTAATCTATACAACAACCCTGAGAATCTTCAAAGTCAAAGTAAATGCATGTATATATACAAATAAAGTAGAAATGTGGTCTTTTTATATCAAAAAGAGAAGATGAGAACACAGTCTGCTTTTTCTCTGGCTTAACTTCCTTATTGAGATCCTAAATCTTAATGCCCAGGCCTAAAAATAGAAAGGAATTGTTAATGAAAAAATGTTTTTGTATAATTTGGTGGTGAAATTTGGCCAACATTGGCTTAGTTAGGTTTTTTTTATTGGATGCCAAAACTAGAGACATTAATGGAGTAGAAGTTTTGAGTATTTTTAAGACAACGAGAAATCTAGTCCACTTATTACAACCCTAATTTTAACATTGAGAATCTACTATTGCAAATACTTCCTAGTATGTTAGATTATATGCACATCAGGTATCTTCTTATATTTCTTAGACACAGATACAGTCATAATTTACTTATCAGCTGGAATAACATCAAGGGATTCATCCGAAGATAGTAAAAAGACTACTCTTCGTGTCATCAATGAAGAAAATAGTTTGCTTAACAACTCTGTAATGGTCCTTACTTATGCTCTCATGAATGGTAAGATGTGTTTGGAATATTAAGCGTCTTTCAGTTGTGTATTCAGTATTTTGAATTTCCAGAAGGCATGATTTTTTTTTCATATATGAATTAAGTTGCTTAATGACTAGTTTATAATTTCCACTGTTTGAGTTCTCAGTACGGTTTCATAAACTAGGTGCTTTAATTTTTCTTTCTGTTTATGTGCAATGTCTATTTTTGCAGAGGGTGTGACAGGCTTAAAAGAATTAGCCTTTCTTCGAGATCTAGCGGAACAAAACTCAGCAAAGTATGGAGTCCCAGATCGAACAGCTTTTCCTGTAACTAAAGGCAGTATGATGGTCCTGAACCAACTGAGTAATTTGGAAACAACTGTCGGACGGTTTTATACAAATCTCCCAAACCATATGATTGATGAGGCAGTCTTCAGTTTGCCATTCTCTGATGAAATGGGAGATGGTAAGAGCTTCCTCCTTTTAAAAAAAACCACATTTAATATCATGAGTTACGCACATTCATGACGGTACTACATATAGGAGTAGTCATATAGGAGGCCTATTGCAGTGATGTTACATGTAAAAGGCATCTGTTTTTTGTATTTGTGTCAAAAATGAAATTCTCTGTTTTGATCATTTCACCCCAAAACCTAAGCTATCTAACTAGTTGGTGCTGACATGCATATAATTATATTCTCAATAATACTTTTGTTGAACATGTCACAAAGGGCAGTTTTCACCAGGAGAAGCTTGTAGGGGACTACATATTTTCCTAGGATCAAAATTAAATTATTTTAATAATATGTCTTCTTAGATCAAAATAATGAAGTTCTAATAACAGGACTTGAATATCTAAAATTGGAGCTGGATTTTGCTGTTGGATGGTTTTACTCAAAATGTAACAATTAAATTAAGCCTAGTGCTGAGCTTGTATTCCTTTGGATCCTTTCTTGATGTGTTTTAATATGGTGCTTAGAGGCTTATCTGAACTTTTAATATTAGAGGTTATCAGTCACAACCTAAAAATAGTACTTTGGTTCTTAATCAGCGTCAAATCTATTGGACAGTTAAAATCAGATGGAGTTCAGCTTGGAAAGAAGTTCAGCTCCCAAAATCGTATAAGAAACATTTTTTCTTTTTTTTAATTAAAGTTTTTCATTTTTTCATTTTCATAACGTATAATCACATGTATACTATTACATAGCCAACATCATATTGTATTA